CGTCGGGAAAATAAAAAGTCACTTCTGGGATTCGAACCCACCTTCTGACGATCCGATACCCGCGAACCTAACCACTCAGCCATCTCTGAGATACTGCTTTTTGCTGTTCATATTAAGGAGATAACAAAGTCATTCAACTTATTTAACATTTTCATATGAGACGACGTTACAGCCTATGCTAACAACGCACGTAAGCAACTTCGAGAAAGACACCTGGCATCTTTTGGTAACGACGAGCGTGTCAGCTTCGCCTACATCCCTTGGACGGTGCTAGCAACCATCACGTGCAAGCTCCATAGTGGTCCCTTCAAGACATTCCGTCTCGGGGAAAGTGCGATCGACCCGTCCTTCTGATGACATCTACAAGTTTAAGTCTGTAGCTGCTTGTTATTTCTGGTATTTATAGTTTTGTTCTGAAATTTCTTTTTCCTTCATTACTTCACAATCATGCGACTTTTGGTTGTTTAAATACATGTACAACCAATTTCCTCCCGCCTTGATTTTGTTATTAAATGTAGGAAGTTTGGTATCTAGTTAGTACCAATATTTATCTGGGCCATATTCAGTTTTTAGTGGTAAATTTTGTCCATTTGCCGATATACTGTATTGATGACCGTTTCTACGGACGCCCTTCATAAGCCCCTGGAAACAGCTTTCAGTCGAGTCTTTTGAGCTCCATCAATGCCTTACTGTTATCTAAATCCTCAGGTCTAATTCCAATAGTAGCTATTTTAGTAGTGCTGACAGCCTAGCCAGTACTGATTCACACTCTCCAGCGGGTTAAATCATCAATCGTTTCAACAACAACGTGTTTAATCCCGTACAACCTGATGCTGATTACCCCGAATTCGTGCTCAATACGTGTGGATCTGAATAGCTTAGTGAAGAACAGGTACGAGTTAAACGTCATGCGATAGGGAATTCCTTTTTGTTATATCATGCCAATATAAGAAGTCTCAACAAAAACTATGATTCTCTTCAGCCCTCACTTGAAAAAATGGGGCATGAATTCCAAATTATCGGCCTTACTGAGACATGGCTGAAGTCAGACCCCGATTCCCTCCTGTCCATGCCTGATTACAATATTGAGTTTAAAAACAGACATAATCAAGCAGGTGGAGGCATAATGATGTACATTAAAGATTCTTTATCGTATATTTTACGTCCTGATTTATCGATTTCTACTCAGTCATATGAATCGCTTTTTATAGAAATTAAAACTGATACTAGAAAGACTCTTATTTGTGTGGTCTACCGACCCCCCAGTCTTTCCCTCAAGACTTTCATAGCCGATTTTGAATCAGTACTTGAGAAAACTGAATCGGAATAAAAAATCTGTTATTTTAATAGGGGACTTCAATATGAATTTACTAAACAGCGAAACTAATTCTGGCACTAATGATGCACTAAACCTCTTCTTTACATATCTTTTCCGCCCTACTATTGATAAACCCACTAGATTAACTGAAAATTCGGTCACATTGATTGACAATATCTTTACGAATAACAGTGAAGCAGTCTCTACTTTTATCGTCTTATCAGATTTCAGTGATCACTTTCCAATCATACTATCTAGTCAAGGCCTTGTCCAAGCTAAACACAGAAGTAGCTATGTATGGAAAAGAAATACGTCAGCCTATAATATTGCTGCTCTGAAAGACAAATTAGCTCAAGTAACCTGGGATTTTGTAACCACAAGTGAAAGTGTAAATGTGCAATATTCACTTTTCATCTCCAAGTTCGGTAATCTGATTGATAAAAACATGCCTTATACTAAATGCAAATCTAATTCCAAACAATCAAATCCAGGATTTCTAAAGGCTTATTAAAATCTATAAGAAAGAAAACTAAACTAAACTTTATAAAATATATCTGAAAATCCTTCACAGGTGAATGAATTCAATTATAACAGATATAAAAACAAATTAACTTCTGTAGTTAGAACCTCCAAGAAACTGTTTTATTCCGCTTCTTTCGAGCGAGAGAAAGCTAACGTTAAAAATACATGGAAAATCATCAATGAGATATTGAATAGAAAACTTAAAAATACAAAGCCTTTACAATCCATCAAGATTAATGATTGTAACTCTAAGGACTCTAAATTGATTGCTGAACACTCTAATCAATACTTTACAAATATCGGTAAAGTTTTAGCCTCAAAAATTCCTCCGAGCACTTCTGACCCTTTGAAATGTTTAAAAGGTTGCTTCCCTGACTGCCTATTTTTGAACCCAATTACACAGGAAGAACTCTTTGATTGTCTTAGAAACCTTCCTGATAAGAAAAGCGAGGGTTATGACGAAATTGATAATATTCTCATTAAAGACATTGCTCCTTTTATTGTTCAACCCTTAACTAATATTTTCAATCTTTCTTTAATATCTGGTGAGGTTCCTGACCAAATTAAAATTGCTTTATTAATTCCAGTCTTCAAAAATGGGGA